GGCACCGAAGCGCAAGGGCAAAAAGCAGAACGTGAATCCCATATCGCATCAGTTGACAGTTGTTGCCTCATCGACGCTCTCCAAGTGCGCATTTCTGTGCACTGTGCTCTCGGAGAACTCGGAGCATTATCATATTGGCTTTCGCATCTGTCTGTTTGCGCTGGAAATGCCACGGCCGCCGGCCAGCACCAAGCCGCTCGAGGTGAAGCTGGCCAATCAGGAGGCGGACATATTGGCGCTGCTCAAGCGCCTGCCGCTGGGTGCCGCCGAGCTCCAGGTAATACGCGAACGGGCCGAACAGCTGCGCAATGGCACCTTCAAGACGCGCGGCGAGGCATTGCTGCCCATCAATTTGGCCACATTCATCTTTGATGCGCTCGTCACGCCCGGCGCAGCGAAGTTGGCAACGGGTACATCTGCTGCTGCCGCCGCCGCTGCTGCTGCCGCCGCAGCTGGTGAATTGGCGGGCCTGTCGCGACGTCCGAACCCGGCGCTGTACAAGCAGCACAGCGAGGAGAATATGGGCTTTGAGGCAGCTGTTGCGGCATTGGGCCTGAAAGCCAATGTCTCGGAAGCGGAGCATCCGCTCTTGTGCGAGGGCACGCGACGCCAGCGCGGCGATCTGGCATTAACGCTGCTCTATCACTACAAGGATGAGCCGCGCAAGATAGCCAAGATTATGGAGAAGCTGCTGGATCGCGATATACACACGCTGCTAAAGACACCGCTGTTGCCCGCCTACTACTCCAGTCATCCGCCCGTCCGCACGCCCAGCCAGCAGCCCATGCGACGCGACGAGCATGACTATAGCGCCGGTGCGCCAGTCGGTGCAGGTGGCAATGGAGGCGGTGCTCCCTTCAATTTATGCGAGCTCCTGCCCAATGATTATGGCAGCGTGGGCGGCAACAGCCGGCCGCATAGCTCAACCAGCGCTGAGCTCGAGCTGAGCATGTGTGCGCTGAGCATGGCCAGCAGCAGCAATCAATCCTGTAGCAGCAACAACAATGGACAGGGACAGGGACAGAGCCAGGCACAGGGTCAGGGCCAGGGCATGGTGGCGTGCCAGAATAGCGGCCAGCCTGGCGGCAGTAGCAGCAGCAGCAGCAGCAATGCCAATCCAGCTGGAGCAGCTGCATCTGGTGCCGCTGCTGGTGCTGTTGGCCAAAACAACAACAACAGCAGCAGCAATAACACAACGAACAGCAACAACAACAGCAACAACAATGCCAGCAGCAGCAGCCGCAGCAAGGAGAGCCGCTACAAGGGCAAACGCGCCTATCCCTCCATACCGAATCAGCCGTCGGAGGCTAGCGCGCACTTCATGTTCGAGCTGGCCAAGAATGTGCTAACCAAGGCCGGCGGCAATAGTTCCACATCGCTGTTCACCCAGGCCAGCACCAGCCAGAATCATCATGGTCCGCATCGTGCGCTGCACATGTGCGCCTTCCAGCTGGGCCTCTATGCGCTCGGCCTGCACAATTGCGTCAGTCCGAATTGGTTGTCGCGCACATATTCCTCGCACGTCTCCTGGATACTTGGCCAGGCCATGGAGATTGGTGCGCCGGCGATTAGTTTTCTAATCGATACATGGGAGGCGCATCTAACACCACCGGAGGCAGCAGGCATGGCGGATCGTGCATCGCGTGGCTGGGACAACAATATGGTATATCCGGCCGCGGAGCTGGCGCTGTCTGTGCTGCCCCATGCGGCTGCACTCAATCCAAATGAGATACAGCGCGCCATATTGCAGTGCAAGGAGCAGAGCGATCTAATGCTGGAGCGTGCTTGCCTCACTGTCGAATCGGCAGCCAAGGGCGGCGGCGTCTATCCGGAGGTGCTCTTCCAGGTGGCTCGCTACTGGTACGAGCTCTACACACGCAATTCGCCCAACAACAGCGGCGCGGATCATGAGCAGCATGAGGAGCAGCTGGAGCATTCGGCGGTCAGCCTGAGTGCGCTAATTGAGTCCCAGCAGCAGCATGAACTGCAGCAACAGCAGCAGCAGCAACAGCAGCAGCAGCAACAACAGCAGCAGCAACAACAGCAGCAACAACAGCAGCAACATCAGCAGCAGCAGCAGCAGCAGGTGCATCAGCAGCAACAACAGCAGCAGCAGCAGCAGCTGATGAGCGCTGCTGGCGGTGTAGGTCCATTGGGGGGTCCACCTGTGGTCAGCTCCGCACCGCAGCCATTCCAGCCGGGCGTGGCCGCACTGGCGCCCATTGGCCTGGCGCCCTATGGGCCATACACTTTCTGCCAGAGCATCTATGCGCATCATCATAATCTCAGCTATCCGCCTGGCCAAATGCAGATGTATATATCAGCTGGTCCGCCGCCGCCACCGCAGCCGCTCTACGCGGGCTACTCGCAGCAGCAGCCACCGCCGCCGCCGCCGCCCACACAACAACAACAACAGCAGCAGCAGCATTCACAGCAGCAGCAGCATTCACAGCAGCAGCAGCAACAGCAGCAGCAGCAACAGGGCCTGGCACCGCCCACGGCTGTGGTGCATGCAGCGCCGCCGGGTCACCAGCCACCGCCAGCGTTTCAGGCGCCGCCACCGGGAGCTTTTCAGCAGCTGCCACCGCAGGCATATCAGACGCTGCAGCCGGGTCCACCCGGACCGCCGATGGGTCCAATGGCGCCCGCCTATTACGGACCACCACCGCCGCCGCCGCCGAATGGACCGCCCGGTGGCGGTGTAGGCGTACCACTGCGCCAGCATCCTGCCCAGCATCCTGCCCAACATCCAGCACAGCATCCGGCACAGCATCCAGCCCAGCATCCCGTGTACCCGTTCATGCAGCAACAGCCGCCGCCACCACCGCCGCAGCATCAACAGCAACAGCCGCCATCACAGCCGCCGGTGCGTCAGCGGCAACAGCATCAATTCACGTGAGTATCATCCGAATGCCAGGATGGAACTTTAACCACATCTCTCTCTCTCTCTCTCTCTCTCTCTCCCTACAGACCCACACAGATGCGGTATCTGCTGGCTGCCTACAATGTTGGCATGCTGGCCATGGAGACGCTGGCGCGACGCGTACATGACGATCGGCCGCAGGCAAAGTATGCCAGGAATCCGCCGTATGGCGAGGACGTTAAATGGCTGCTGCGGATTAGCAAGAAGCTGGGCACACAGTATCTGCATCAGTTCTGCATCTGTGCGGTCAATTCGATTGTCAGTCCGTTTGTGCTGCACGATGTCGCCATCGAGTCGGCACATTATCTGGGCAGGAACAATCACCAGCTGGTCATGCAGCATCTGCGCTCGGCCCTCACGCCGCTCGTGCAAAAGTGCCAGCAAATGTGAGTGAATGCGACTTGCGGGCCATCAAGACGTCTGTCCTTGACATTTGATCTTTAATCTCTGGCAGGTATATCCAGTGCATCCATCAGAAGCTATATCATCTGACTCAGGGCGACTATGAGGAGTTCGCCAGCATTGTGGTTGCCGCCCGCGCCGCCTTTCAAATCACACCGGAGGGCAGTGCACAGTTCAAGGACTGGCTGCAGTCCATAAAGCGGTCAGTAGTTGTTCATCATAGCACAGCAGATCATAATTCATATTGGCCATATCTAAATTTCGCATCTGATACCCTAGCATTACTGACAGAGTATTTGTAGCCAATGGCTATAGGCCGCATAAGCTGCTGCCCTGGCAATATGATGATCCCGATGGTCTTCTTTTTATATGCGAAAACCTTTACAAAAGCCCAAATAGCAGCACCAAGAGCCACAAAAGCTGGAAACGAAGCTTAAGCAAGACATTTCGAAGAGTCTTTCGAGAAAATCCTCCAAGCATAGAAAATAGAAAAAGATTTTAAATATACAATCTCAAGCCGTAGTGAGACGAATTAATGCGACGCTTCTTCCTCCTACCTACCACCCATCCATCCATCCATCCATCCATCCATCCATCCATCCATCCATTCATCCATCCATCCAACCATTCATCTCTAACAAGTTTTGTTTCTCAAACTTATTTATAATCGAGCCAATTGTGATTTTAATTATTCATGGACCCTTAGCATGATCTATTTTTAATTAAAATTTCAGTATTTGTATTTGGCGGAAATACTTGGTACCTTTTTTGACCGACTTTCGAACGGAACAAACAATAGTTATACAAATTTTTAGCCATTATTGGGCTCTATATAAATGGAACTCAGTTGGAAAGCATTTACAGGGCCACGTCCATTCATTTATATTAATGAGGCTATTATAAATTTAGTCATGAAATGTGTTAAGCATAGAAGAAGACCTCTCCGATCTCTTTGTGAATATATGTATACTTGATCCGTAGCAACAGCCGAGTCGAGATAGAGTCATGTCCGTCTGTTTGTTTCTACGAAAGCGCATCTCTCAGCTGGCATATGTCAAAATTGCTTGCATCGAACTACGATTTTATTTAGTTATCGTAATAATCGGTAGAAAATTAAGTTCTTGAATAAAATACGTTTTACATTCAAAGATATTTTTACCGAACATGGCAATTACATGATTACAAAGAATCAAATAATTATTTATAATATTTATTTATTGAATTTTTTAAAATATCTTGACCAAACATATCTGCAAATATAACATATAGCATATGGTTCCTATAGGAACACTCAATAATGAAGCTTTTGCTAAGGTTATTTATTTATTTATTTATTAACTTGTTAACAAGGTTATTTAATCCTTATCAAAATATGGCTACTTTTTATCTGAACTAACATTAGCAAAGGAAAGAACTCAATCAATTCAATGTCATTTAATAGTTATTTAAACAGATATTCATGAGAATGACAAATAACATAATAGCCAGTTGAAGCCATAGCTAAGAAGCCAAAGGCAAACTGTGCAACAATTTGTTGTTGTTTTGTTAGTTGCACTTGATAATTGTTTTATTTACTGTTTGCAGCTCAAAGTCGTGCAAGAAGGAGCTCTGGACACAGATCAATGCGGCGCTGCAAAGCAATTCCAAATGACAAAGACTTGACTCCTGCAATCTGATGACGGCAACGGCGGCTGCAGCTGCGGCCGCGGCTGCGGCGGCAACGACAACAACGACAACAGCAACAACAATTGCTGGCGTCGCTGCTGTTGCCGGCAGCAGCGAAAAGGCGCCGCCGCCGCCACCAATACCGCTGGTCAGGGCAACGCCTGGTAATGGCAGCAACAACATCAACGGCAACATAGGCAACAATGCCAGCAGCAGCAGCAACAACAACATCAACAGCAACAACTGTAGCAGCAACAACAACAGCAACGGCAGCAACATTGGCAACAGCAACAACAGCAGCAACAACGATCAGACAACAGCGCAGGCGCATCATCATCATCACCATCATCATCATCGGCATCATCATTTGCTGGAGACGCCCTCGAACAATGCAGCCGTTGCCGCCGCTGCAGCAGCTGCAGCAACCACAACAACAGCCGCGGCAGCAACATTAACAGCGCCAACAACGGGCCATGTGTACGAACGCCTATGCCGGCCCAGCCATGTTGTGACCCATCCAGCGGAGCAACAACAACAACAACAACAGCAGCAGCAGCAGCAGCAGCACCAACAACAACAACAGCAACTACTGCAACAACAACAACAACGCGCATCGCTGCCGACTGCACAACAGCGTCCAGTGGCGCCGCCGCCACAGGTGCCGTTGCCGATGCCGATGCCGATGCCGGTGCAGCAGCTGCCAGCGCCAGCGGGTTCGGTGCCGGTGACGATGCCGTTGCCGTTGCCGATGCCGGCACATGCTTATCATACGATGCCCGGCTATTATCAGGCGGCAGCGCGACCTTTGCCGCATCACGCGCGTACGCATACGCATCCGCATGCGCATCCACATACGCATCCGCATGCGCATCCACATGCGCATACACATGCGCATACACATCCACATGCGCATCCACATCCGCATCCGCATGTACATCCGCATCCGCATGCGGCCTACCACCAGCTGCAGCCGCTGAGCCACTACCATCAGCAGCTTTAACAACGTATCGCAGGCGCTGCCCGCGGCTGCTTTGCGACTGGCGCGTCTCATGCAGCAGCTGCAACGCATCCAGCCGACGGAGCAGCAGCAACAACAACAGCAACAACAACAACAAGCAGCTGCTGCCGCATCGTTGGCAGCGTCGCCAGCGTCAAGTGCTGCTGCCTTGCATCGATCAAGCAGCCGTCGGCGCCGCTCCTTTGAGCTGCGCACCATGGCGCTGCTGGTGCTCCTGCTGCTTCTGGTATTATCGCTGGTCATTGGTCTGCCGCTGGTGCTGCTGCTGCTGCTGTTGCCGTTGCCGCCGCCGCCGCCGCCGTCCATGTGGCAGCTATAGGGCGCAAACTGGCTAGTTAAATGCAGTGCGATCTCAGCGCTGCGCCACATTTTTACACCCACACACACACACACAGATACAGAAACAGATACAGACACAGACACCACCGCACTTAGTTCATGTTATAGGTTATCTCTTGCTCTATATACATGCATATATACATATATATATATAATTTTTTATTAATTACTTTTATTTTTTGTTTAATACAATAGCAACAAAAAAATGGGTAAAAACAACGACAACAACTGCAGTTGATGTGTGTGCATTTTTAGACTGAGATTTCTGCCAACACACCAAGCAAGCATTCAACACACACAACACACCACACACACAACACACCACACACACAACACACCACACACAACACACCACACACACAACACACCACACACATTACACAGAAACAAACACACACAACAGATACACATAACACACATACACACTCACAACACATACACATACACTAACACAACACACACACACACAGCCAGCTACAGCAAAACTCACTTCAAAATGTGTTCAGTTAAACTAACGTTATTTTAGACATCTACTTATCAAATAGTTATACAAATTTATATATTATAAAGCTATATACATATATATATATGTATATATCTTTTTTTTTATTATTTCTATTTTCTCTTATGTTCTAACCTTTCATTAGTGTCGCCAATTTCCCCCTCCCCTCCCCCCTCCCCTAGCTCTAACATTTTCCACTTATCATACATTATATAATTTAAGGCAAATCTTTTTTTTATATATACATATGCATACATATTTATGTATATATATATACATATATATATATATATTATTATATTATAGAAATTGAAATGTAGCTAAGCAATTTTTAGGAATTTTAAATTTGTTCAATAAGCCAGACCGACTCACCGATCAACTTAAATCGAAAAATCGCTAAAAAAAAAAAAAAAAAAAAAAAATGTTATAATTTATCTATTATGATGTCAAATTTTAAACTGCAATTGTTTTTTTTCCTTTTTTTTTTTTTTGAATATACGCTAAATATTTGTCTAAGATTTCTAAGTTGTAATTGTGCCGAAATGTTGGCGATTATAGACAACGATTATATGATTATGTGATCTTATGGCCATGCAATTGTTGAATTTGTGAGAATTCGAATGTTTATTTGTTTGTTGGTAAACAAAACATTTAATAAAATTATTGTAGCCAAAACTCGGCCAGAAACTAAAAGCTTGCACAAATATTTGGCAATTTGAAAGAGAGAGAGAAAAAAAAAAGGAAACACACATTTCTCTCATGATGCGAAACGAACAGAACAGAACAGAACGAAACGGAACAGAACATAAACACAATACAAAATACATATTTTTACGCAATTATTTATAATTTATTTTAATTCAATTCACACACACACACACACACACACACGCTCACACATAGATATTGTTATGCGTGACAAAAAGAAAAAATACAAGGACAAATGGTTAAGAGTGCGCTTCGCAGCAGCCAAATGAAACAAACAATCAAGAGCGCAGACATAACGCGCCGAGTTGTGCTTTGCGAGCCTTTCTCTTAAATTTGGCTGCGCGACAGTGCACATTTTCTCTGTTGCAACAGAAGTTTTTTAAAACACAGACTCTCACACACACACACAACTATAATAACGAGAGAAATACATACAATTTTTGTATTTTATATGAAAACATATACATCTATTTTTACAGCCTATTTACACGCAGTTAGAATTGAAAAGAAAGAGAACAAAGTACGAAAAAAATAATTAGCAATTGTTTATTTTTGATTGAGTTTTATTTAGTATGCTTTATCTTACACATAAATCATTTTATCTTAATGCTAAAATTCTTTTTATTTATACACATTTTCTTGCAAAAGAAACAAAAATGCAAAAAAAAATTTTTTTTATATACATACAAAAGAAATCAAATGCAGTTTTGAATAAATATGGTTTTTTGGATTTATTTCAAAACGCAGCTTGAAAAAAAAAAACAAAAAAAAAAAGAACAAAAGAACAAAAACCGCAAGACACAAAAACTTAATTGTTTGTTTTATTTCGTTATAAATATTTTTAATTTTTTCCAGCTAACAGAGTTGCGGACCTTGCGTCCCTATGTTAAGTTATTCTCTTATAATTTGCTATTATTAGTTATGGCCTTTGCCATTCTCTTATAATTTGCTATTAGTTATGGCCTTTGCCACCTTGTTGAAAAGCTTGTTCAGATCGCCAACTGCAGCAGGCAGTGAGATGAGCTTCAGTTTGCTCGTGACACGACCTTATCATATGTAACGGTGCTTCACACACAAGCATACATTCAATGCAGACAAGCACACACTAACACACACACACACACACACACACATTTATACGAACATAGGTACAGCTATTTCAATGAGAAACTGCCAATTTCTGTTAGTAACTATTAAATATGTTATGAATATGTATTTGTATATGTAGTTATTTGTATGGGCATAGGACCCAATATACGCGAAGTGGTCGCACCAAAAGAGAGCCAGGCATAAGGGGAGCTGTTGAGCAGTTACCACCCTCCTCTGCTCCTTGGTGTGCCATTAAACGCATTTAACGTTGAGATGATACCCTGTAAATATGAAACATAAATTAAATAAGCCGCGCAGCGCATTTTGCGCACTTATATAAATATTGTAACTCTTTTTGTGTTTTTATATACATATATATGTATATATATATATATATGTATGTATATATGTATATAGAAACCAAACAATACATTCGAGCATGCATACTTATATATATATACACACACACACACACACATACATACATATATATATACATATATGAAAACTAGTGAATTCTGTATCGCGTAAATTGTACATTTTTAGTAGACAGTTTTATACAAACAAAACAGAAATGAATATATATATATATAGAAATTTACATGCGGACAGATGTCAAATCTGTAAATATAAACAACAACAAAACAAAAATGAAGAAAATGAAAATGTTAGCGAAACCAGTTTTTAAATATAATGACATGAACCATTTGTATCTATATACTTACGAACATGCATACAATACTTATTATTAAATAGATATATTTAAAATATATATATACATACATACACACATATTTATAGAGATCTAACCACATATATACATAAATATATATACATAAATATATATATATATATATGTGTGTATATGCATATAGTTGACTTTTTTCCATGAAAAAACAAATATATATATATGTAAAAAAAAATGAGAGAAGCATTGAAAAATAATAGTTGCAAAGCTTGTTCAACATTATATAGAGAATTAAATATTTGTACATTATATATACAATTTATTTAGTACAGAAGTGAGGCCATAGTTAAAACATTCCAAAACAAAAAGCAAATCAAATCGGAGAATAACGAAATGACAGTCGCATGTTTTCGGCTTTTTTCAGCTATTTTTTGTCAAATCTAGCTACAAACCGAAACAATCCAGCTAAATGATAAGTTCTTTTTTTTATAGAAAACTAGCTGAGCAGCTTGTATAGATTTCTTCTATATATTTTATATATTTAGGCTTTCAACAGGATTTCTAAACCACTTTTCGTTTAATGCCGCAATTTTTTTACGCATTTTTTTCATTGCATACTTTTGAGCGTTTCAATGTTTCGGATTGTGTAAAATCGTTTCTCTTTTGTGTTAATTATTGAAAATGCATTTAAAAAAAATTATGAACAAAATTAGAAATGCTGCCATATAACCCGCCTGCCGATCGGCGTCTGAACAACCAACGAACTCTTGCAAAAAAAAAATCATTTATATATGAATAGTTTAAAGTTTAAAGAGTTCTGTGTAGGCTCAAGCTATACTTCGTCTTGATTTCTCTTCGTTTCCTTCTGATCGATCATGAGGTAGATAGATATAAGCTCAAATTTCAAATACTTCTATATACGTAGAACTCGAAAAAACATGCGGTTGCAAGCGTTAACGCTAAGGATTACTTTATTCAGTAGTAGACATCGAGTATAAACAACAACAACAACAACAATTCAACAACAACAACAACAACAATTCAACAACAACAACATTCAATTCAACAACACAGACAGCTAACAGGTGTTCCATACTCTTGAACTTATTTACAGAAAGAAAGAAACTTAATGGAAACAAAAGTTATCAAAGAAAAACAGATTTTTATTAAAAAAAAAGGGAAAAAATAACAAGATTTTTGTTAAAAAAAAAAATGATAAAAGCAAGCAAAACTTTTGTTTAAAAAAATATGCATTAAAAAAAAAAACAAAATTTCTGTTGAGAAAAAAACTTTTATATATTGAGGAAAAAATTAGAAGTCTCTTAAGATTTAGTTTTAACTTTTAAATTTATATTAATAGAAAACAAATTCAAACTTTTTAAATAAATCTTTAAGCTGATTTGTATTAAAACTATTTAAAGTTATCTTTAAATGTATTTATATGAAAACTATTTAAATTAATCTGAAAACTAAATGTCAGGCTTAATAGAAGAGATTTCAGTTGAAAATTAAAATCCCTTTTTTAATTAATTTCCTTTTTAAATTAATTTCCCTTTGTATACCTTAACTGTTGTTAAAGTACCCAAGTACTTGCTCTCTCTCTCTCGAACACACACACACACACCACACACACATGCAGCACTCAAAGAAATATCG